AGGAAGAGGAAGAGGAAGAGGAAGAGGAAGAGGAAGAGGAAGAGGAAGAGGAAGAGGAAGAGAAAGAGGAAGAGAAAGAGAAAGAGAAAGGAAGAGAAAGAGAAAGAGAAAGAGAAAGGAGAAACCCACCCCCCCCCTTCCCCCACGCTAGACCTGTCTGAGTACCCGTCTGCTTGCCTGCCTTATTATAAACCTGAAAATCCCCTCCTTCCCTCCGTCACCGAAAACAGAAAAACAAACACGACACAGACAGCGTATTGGAATCATACGTTCTCGCGTTGTTTGTCGTTCACTCAGGACGCAAAACTATCGAGCTATCACCATCTAGCCACCACTCGCCCAGGCCAGCCATCCTCGCAAAGACCACTGATCAGACTGGTCTGATCCTATCTGGCCAAAATCAGGAAGCAGTATCCCATCCGAATATCCTGTATCCCTTCCATTCACATACCCGCAGGTAATAGAAGAAGAGCAAAAAGACCAGCGCAGGCAGCAGGTATCCGCATCAAAAACACACGCTCAAATTTTCCCCAACGCAAAATTGGTAGTAATTTTGGTACCATCCTTTCCCACCCGCAAAACCCCTCACCCCCACCTCTCCCCAACTCCCCAAAATATACAAACACCTGGACACCATGCAAATGCAGATTTTAAAGAAGAGAAGATTTCGTAGAGCGGGCACGAAGATTAACCCTCACTCATGAAACCCCCTGACTGAGCAAAGGCCATTTGGTACTGGCGGAGATCAGCCCAGATACGGAGCTCCTCCTCCTCTTTACGAAGCTCCCGCTCCTCCTCGTTACGGAGCTCCTGCTCCTCCTCGTTCGTACCACTCGATGACTTTCCGGGGCTGACACCCTCAAGCCTCACGAGAACGGCAACAAAGCGGGACAGGTACTCTTCAGACTTGAGGGCAAGAGGGCCTTTGTGCTTGTCTGGCGATTCGATGAGGGTGGATGCAATTTGTCGAATTTTGTTGATCTGGGTACTTGTTAGTATATGGACCCAGGAGTCGAGAATCCAGCGGTTTCGAGAGAAAGACAAAAAAGTTGGAAGTCGAAAGAGGTGAAAAGGGGATAGGATGGGATAGGTAAATAAGAGTATATGGTAATGGTCGGGAGTCGGAACAAAGAAAGAATGAAAAACTCACAAAGCTGCCCCCGTTGGGCTCCATGTTGACCTGGCTAATGCTACCCAGCACCATAAAGAGATCCACAACAATGCTCTCTCTCTCCGCAGTCACGTTCGTCTCAATCTCAGGGTTACTAGAAGCCGCCTTCATAACAAGACTATCCAGACCAATTGAACCAAGAGCAGGAGAGCCTATCTCAGAATTGACCTTCATGTTGTAAGCTTCTTGAAGATTGCAGTACTTGTCGACAAACCACGAACGAGTGCCGAGTTGACTGAGGTAGATGTTGGCCTTTTGGATCTCGAACTGGATACGGCGGCGCTCCTCGAAGACTTGGGGTAGCCCAGATGTGTCTATTCCATTAGACGACAGATCAGACATGTTGAAGTTGGAAGGGGCGTAGAGACTAGGATCTCCGAACTCGCCTGGTTGAGAACCTGGTTGTAGTTGGAGGTCAGGAGGGATCTCATTCATCACCTGCTTCACATTACGGAGGCAGTTGTCCAGCAGGCTCTTCTGGCGAGTCCAGTCAAATACTTCATCAATGCCATAGGCTAACTCCATAGTGGAGAGCGGGGTCACGGTTTGGTAGATCCGGACATTGATATTGAAGCCAACTAGCTTCGAAAGCTTTCCTGCTGGTTGAGGCTCTATGTGGCTGGCATGGATGTATTCATCATCTACCTCCAATGGGAATGGAGGGTATGGGCAGTTTGACGTTGGTGGTGGAATTGATAGCTCGGCGTACTGGGCACCAAGTTGTCGAATAGAACTATGGATAGATATTAGCGGATTTCGAGGAAAGCAAAGGGCGAGACTTACACCACCCCGACGAACATCACCCAAAAGACTCTGCGGCCAATCTCTTGTCTAATGTAATCAACGGGAGCAGATGGCTCAATAAAAGGTTGATCATTAGTAGCGAAATTAAGCGGCATACCTCCAACACCACTTCGGAGACCGTTATCGTTCACCTTGTTGTCGTTCACCTTGTGGGCACCCAAGACTCGAATAATGGTCAAGGTCTCACCAAAGTAAAGACGGGAGAGCTTCCACTTAAAGGTGTATGCAGCAGCCAAGCCGAGAAAATAGCTGGTAGCAGCATCGTGAACCGACAAGTCGTTGTCCAAGTAGCCCGGTCCACGCGCAGAGACAGCGACCTTGTGGCAACGCTCCACCAAGTCCACCGAGCTGGGAAATAGGTGCTCTCGGCCCTCGGCCTTCAGGTGCAGTCGGGGCTTGCGCGGGAATGACGCAACAAGAACACCGACCATGGAAGCCAGTAAAGCAAGGAATTTGGGATTACGGACGTCCTCTCGATCCTTAAAGGCATTTCTGAATGAAGGCTCGTGGGGGAAGGGGCAGAGTGGGTGGATGTATGTAAAGAAGTCGTCGACCAGCAACTGCAAGGTTGAGATGGGACAGATGGCCTGCGCACTGAGCGTAGGGCTTGAGGCAAAGTGAGCGAGGGTCGCAGCCACATTGCTGGGTGAGCTAGGAGACGAGAAGCTGCCCGAAGGCGACTCGAGTCTGACCTTCTTCTTGATGGCTTCGGCATGGCGGTTAGGGGGACCTCTGCGTCGACTTGGGCGCTTGAAGGTACAGGGAATGTCCAGTGCAGCACAGGCTCGGCACGGGATACCGGACTCATCGCACTAGGGTTTAGAAGGCGTCAGTCAGCATTGTTTGTTCACTATCGCGTCGGGTCGCGTCGCGTCGCGTCGGGTTGAGTTGAGTTGAGTTGAGTTGGATTGAGTTGGATTGGAGATCACGATGACAGGCCGTTCGTTGACTTACCTTCACCTTACGGATGCTGCAGGAATCGCAAGCCTTCCGTAAGCGATTGCCCTTGACTCCACCCCCATCACTGATGTTGCCGTTGGCGTTGGCGTTGCCGTTGGAGGTCGGAGTATTTTGCATGGGCATCATCTGGCCGGACATAGGGACGGGGGATTGGGATTGTTGCTGCATATCACCGCCATGGCCATTGTGTCCCGGGTGGTTATGGTTGTGGTTGCTGCCGCTGCCGTTGCCATAGGGGTTATTCATCTGGGCGGCGATAGGAGAGTCGTATTGGTACGGTAGCTGCTGTTGTTGATATTGTTGCTGCTGCTGCTGAGGGGGGAGGCCATGGTGACCGTGCGACAGACCGTGCGACAGACCCTGATCGCTGCCATTGTGACTGCTGTCGATACTGCCGGGGGATGGTGCATGGTGAGCCTGCAGTTGTTGCGGGTGATGAGGATGAGGATGGGAGAGAGACTGAGGGTGAGATTGGGGATGCGATTGAGGATGCGATTGCGCATGATGATGTTGATGTGGGTGTGGGTGTGGGTGGTGAGCATACGAACTACCTGCATTGTTCTGGTAACCCGACATCCTGTGGATCTTGATTATTATTATTGGTTGCGCCGGAGAGTTGTCGGTTGAATCGTGGTGTTGTGGTCGGCACAAGGGAATGGGAGGGGAACGAAACGTTAGACGGGTGGGACGGTCGGGAGGGGATGGATGTACTTCGGTGGAGAGTGGTGGCGAGATAAGTCGGGAAGGCGGTGGGGTGGCAGAAAAACTCCCACTAGCTGCAACGTGACGGCGCTAGACTCGACTTGGCCCGTCACCTGACGTGGTACCGAGGACGGCGAGGCTGCGGGGAAACATTTTACCGTCAGCTTTCTTCAGTCGAAGCCGAAGCCGAGATACATCCATACATACGTACCGGCGTGTATGTATATGCTCCAGGTATAAGAGTCTGGGTGCGCCCAAGGTCTATTCAGCCTTGTTCTTCTTTTTTTCCTTGTTCGTCTTCGTTCTTGTCCGTGCTTTCGTTCTCGTCTCGTCCGATCTGGTCTGCGCAGCTCGGGGATGATGACCGGGCAGACAGACAGAAAGATGGTGGGTGAAAGAAGAAGGCAGGGAAAGAAAAGGAACCGCACGCAAAGAAGGTCAAGGTCAAGCGAGACTTAAGTGATCGCCGGTAAATGAACTGACTCGACCCGACTTGATTCACCCTTGGAGCCAAGGACAACAACTCGACTTTGTATTGCAATCTCGAGGTCGAGAAGGCGATGATCGATGATGATCGGTGATGCGATCGCGGTCGCGGTCGCCGTCGCGCTTACAATTGCGGTTGCGACTTTCTTTTCTTTCTCGGCGCAGGGCACGCAGATAGACGGGTCGGGATTGTTGGCTTGATTTGACTGGACTTGACTGGAATTTGCTCGACTCGACTTTGCTTGCGTCTGTTCGTCTGTTCGTCTATTTGTCTATTCGTTCGTTCGTCCTCCTTTTCAATCGTTTGTAGTAGGTATCCTCTGCTTTGGCTCTTCTTCTTCTCCTTCTTCTTCCTCCTTCACCGGCTTTTGCTCTTCTGGATCCGTCCCTCGTTGCGTGTTCTTGTCGTCCTTCAGTCATGCGTCGTGCATATTTATGTCCCTCAAAGCACATTCAAATACATGATAAGCTCTTCCTCCCTCATTCCTACTCGTGCGAGCCGAGTGGAGTGACTTAATACTCCCCCCAACATGCCCTCTATCGCTTTCCCCGGTTCATCTCGGCGCTATTACTGAGCGGATATCGACCAGGACCAGGGGATGATTGCGTTGGTCCCTGGATCTTGTTCTGTGGCTCAGTGAGACAGAAATGAGGACCTCTGTGTGGCGCAAAGTCAGCAGCACTTGCTTGCTTAGAAGCTGGCAGGGGGAGCCGTTTGACAGTTTGATAGCGTAGAGTACGTGCTCTGCAGTAGCTTGCGCTCCTCTTGAATCGCTACCTATCTATATCTCTCTCTGGTCATGTACCATTGTCTTCATTTGGCAAGCTGTAATTTATCCCCAACTGAGGTTCTTTGGGGACAGCCTAGCTCGAGACCAGATAGATGATACACAGTTGTACATCATGGACGAACGAACGAAGGGGCTCGAGACGGGGCTATTGCTGTCACACGGTCCCTATCAGCGAATGATATGGTGGCGCTTGTAGGTGAAAATTCGTGCCCCAAGCACGAGTGTCATGATACAAGTACATGCCACAGTCTATCCCTATCGCATTCTCTCGCAGGCCATACCCTTCTCTTTCCTCTCCTCCCCGAGATCAATTTGACTTTCTCACACTCCCCAATACCCAGAGAATACTCCGAAGCATCAGACGTACCAAATAATATGGACCCGAGGCTTTCGATCAACACTGTACCTTGCCCCAAAAGCCAATGAATGGTGCTGCTGCTGCTGCTGCTTTGCTGAGGCTGGGCTCTGAGCTCTGCGCTCTGCGCTTGGACCAGGGACCACGAATATGATGCACGTCGTGGAAAAGGCTGGCAGGGATGAATGGATGGATGATGGATTTAGACTCTACGCGCTGCATGACAAGCAAGCGAGCTGGATAGGCTAAAAGGCGGCTGTCATCCCGAATGGAGACAAGCGAGTCAGTGCCGTTCGGACCCTGGTTGGGACGGGGAACGGGGATGCCGAGCAGGGGAAGTTTTGGATACAGTGCCGTGCAGTTGTAGTCAGTGCATGCGTACAGGACTGCCCTATGACGCTGTTTACTTTCAATATTTTTTTCCCCATCAGGACTCACCAAGTTTCGTTTTCCAAAGCTACTGATACCATTTCTTCTACAGTAGTACCGTACCGTACTGTACCCCCAGAAACTCTTTTTATCATCCACCTTTTTGCAGAGCAGTCAAGCAACCCTCAGAATCTGGATATGCTTTTCTCCACGCCTACCCAAACTCTCTCTTTTCACTTTTCACTACTGTACTCTGTTATAACCTCTGCCACGTACCGCGCCGTGCTGTCTACCAAGCCTATACCCATGACTAGGAGCAGGACTAAGAGTCTAAGACCATGGCGCCCTTCCGTTTTGCTTCTGGAAGGATCACTCCCACGGCCATCCACACGAAACCGTTATCCAAGTGGCTTCCTCTCCTCCAAGACTCAAACCCAGAATAGAGTCGAGTGGAGCAGCAGAATATGATACACACAAATTACCCATCTACATACATCAATACATGCATAGATACATGCGGTATGTCTAGAAACTAGCAGCGAGTTTCCATCGATCGATCGATCCATCCCGTCGTCCTCTCCCCTCCTCCTCTCCTTGTATATGCACACACATATATACACATGAGTACACATGAGTACCAATACCAATACCGCATAAACCATCCCAAGTGGCGCACTGGGCTGTTGACTCCATAAGATCTACGCACAAACTAGATTCTACGTAGTACGTAGTAGATCCTAGATCAATTGGCCCTTTGCGCCGTCAACGCACTGATCAACTAGGAAACAAAGATTAAACGTTATTGGCAGCCCCGCGCGTTACTTTGGATGGTACGTAGTATATACTACTACGGTACGGTATACGTACGGTACTGTACAGTAGCAGGACCGGTATCTATCCGCATCCACATCCACATCCGTACCCGCTCCCGGCTGGGCTGGGCTGGGCTGGACTGGGCTGGGCTCGGCTCGGCTCGGCTCGGCTCGGCTCGTCTCGGCTCGGCTCGGCTCTCCGCTCTGCCTTCCGCCCTCCGCCCTCCCGCCTTGTCCGCGATTGACACTTGCCAGGATATACTTTCGTACTAGTTGTACGAAGTAGTAGTAGTAGCAGTACGTAGTATATATCTCAACATCATATAGGCAGTGCGCAACGAAGCGATTCCACTCGAGCTCGGCTCATCTCGGCCCGGTCCAGGCCTGCCCTGGTGCAAGTACTCCTCCGGCAGCTGTCTTGCGTCATCACCTCACCTGACCTTGACCTGACACCCAAAATCCACCTCGCTCATTTTTATCGTTCACATCCATGTCAACTCAAAACAAAACAAAACAAAACAAAACCAGTCCAATCCAACCCAATCCAATTCAAGCCAATTCAAGCTCATCTATCGTTTACATTCATTTCTCCATCTACTCAGTCCCCATCCCGATTTGGTAAATCCATATAACCAACCAACAAATCAACCCACTTCCCATTCACCCAACCACCCACAGGCCACCCACTCACCGCAGTCTGCGGACTCGGTTCTAGAAAGCGAGAGGGAAAAAACCTACCTTGGATCCGGGATTAGGTTAATCCGTCGATCCATCGCTCCTCTTTCCTTTCCTCTCCTTTCCTCTCCTCTCCTCCCCTTTACCCAACGATAGAGGGATTTAAACAAGGTGGGAGTTCTAACTAAATTATATAAACTAAATTAAATCAAATTGAACACTTGTCGTATCATCTCACCGACGGTTACTCAAACGTGTTGACTACATCCTACAATCATTTGCTTGTAGCTAGAATCGATCGATTGATTCGGCACGGCACGGTACGGGGATAGGTACGGAAATGGCGACAAAGGTTGGGACACGTGGTTTTGATTTTTATTTTGATCTTGATGTCGAGACGGAGAGACGGAGAAGGCCGATTGGTGAGGTGGGGTAAGGGGAGGTGGAAGGAGGATGTGATTTTTCTCTGTTGTGTTGAGTTTGTTATGTTATGTTATTCCGTGTTGTGTTTGTGTGAAGATGAGGGAAGGGAGTGGATGGATGGATGGATGACTGAATGACTCGATGACTGAGTGACCAAACGACTGAATGAACACGTGCTATTTTTATTGCTTTTGGATAGACGCTCGTAGATGGACAGATAAGACAGACAGACAGACAGACAAGCATAGAGGTGGATACCAGATGCACAAATGCGTACCCAGTGCATCAACGCCTGAATGAAATAAATAGGATACACACATACGTAGTACGGTACAGTACTACGTAGGTACCCGCTGCGATCTACCGGTAGGTACCAACCCAGCCCCCGACCCCCAACGCGAGAGGAACGGACGCGAAAGAAGACGACGAAGCGAGCCCAAGACCAGAAAAGATGTGACCAAGTGAGCACGTAAGCAAATAAACGAGGCCGACCGAGGAAGTAAGCTTAGCAAGGAAAATGATCCTGCCTCGCCCGTCTCATCTTACTCGTCTGCGGTAATTATGCTAGGTACTGTAGGCGCTACAGGAGACTAAAGCGCTTGGGTGTTTGTGTGGTTACCACCGTACTTACGTATGTCGTGTGGCGTACCTGCAGCAGCAGCTTCCAGCTAGGGCGAAGAGGGAAATGCAGAAGAAGATACCTATGTAGGTAGCGTACCTAAGTCGCTAAAGTAGATACCTAGGGAATCTTGGAATCTCCGGATGTTGACTAGCGTGCGAGACGACTTCGCTCTTTTGCTTCTCTCTCCTCCTTTCCCTGGCCCTTTCCCAGATGTGGAGAGATTTCTGGACTTTTTTTTTAGGAGGA